TCCTGCAGGCATCGTGGGACAGCAGAGAGGTTAGCAGCCTTAAATCTCAGTTTTCTCCACTTAAAAATAAACTTGGCAGCCCTCCCCAGAAAACAAGCACGCTCTTTCCAAAGACAACATCCTCGCCTACAGATGCTTTTGTCACAGTAGCGGTGACGGTGGAAACAGAGGAGCCGAATTCGCTCGTAGGCCACAGTGGTGTGAGCCCGCTGATGTCTGTGCGGCTGATGCTGAGGGAGATGTTTGCTCCCTGAAACGCCTTTTGAATTAAAATGTACCTTTGGAGAAACCATTTTAAAAAAGAGAAGCCTCAGCATCAGGTTCTCAGTTCTGCGTGTGAAACTGCTTCCATTTGGGCTTAGGAGCTTAATTCTGGTTTGGGGTTGTTTTGGTTTTAAATATGACTGAATCTTAGGCTGAAAGCTTACTGTATGAAACCCTGCTTTCTCTTAGGACATCGTTTTTGCAGAGCGATCTAAGAAACCTAATAGCAAACAATGTCCTTTCTATCTAACCTTAAAGTCATACCACAGAATAGAAAACAAAGTTAATTGTACTCACAACCTCAGCAGGTTGGTATAAAAAGTATCCTATTTGACAGGATTTTTCTTATTAATTAATTAGCAGGATTTTTCTCATGAAGAAGAGGCCTCATTCTTTTCCTTGTAAATATTGTAATAAACACAGCTTGGTGGGGGGGGACCCCAAGACACTTGTATCTCATAGCTCTCCTGTCACAGGTTTGTAGGGTGCTTCCTTTTTTTCACAAGACCACAGATTTCCACAGCCTGCGTTGTCTCAGTTGAGAGAGACAGTGGTTTTGAGCTGTTTGTCTTCCTCAATCCTTTCACCTAGAAGAGAGACGAAAACCCCTGGTCTCTCTCTCAACATGCTACTTGAAGAAGCTACACTGAAAACATAAAAAAGGCAAAAAAAGGCACGCCAAAACTCTCACATACACAAAAGCCAACATACTAGTAAGAGAAGTCACATCAAGCCTTCAAGCCTCTGCATTTGTATCATTTGAGAACTGGATTTCCGAAATTGAAGTCTTGGGCTGGCACCAGGAACATGTGGTGGGCAGAGAGAGGCTCCTAAGCACCACCAGCAGTTCTGTCTTGAAATACCATTGCCTGGTGGAGGCACAGATGCCCTACATGGGTATGCACATGAGTGTGTGTGTCTCGTGCTCTCTGTTACAAGCATGGCTGGCTGAAAGCCCTGGTAGGACTGCCTCACCGCTCCCTTGAGGGACATGAGGATGGAATGCCACCTCGCTCCTGCTGGCTGCAACTCATGATGCTCCAGATGCTCAAAGCCTCACCGTGTATTGTCCACCTCTTGTCAGACCCAAGGAGGCAGCAAGAGCTTCCCCTGGCCCTGAGCTAATGCACCTCAGGCACCAATAGAAAACCCTGAGGCTGTTCAGTTGAGCCTGTTCCTCTCTATTGGTGATGCTCAGATCCACAATGATCCCTGCATCTGCCCACCTTCAGCCAGGGCTTCCTCTGGCCTGCCAGTGTTGGACTAAACAAAAAGCACTTGAGCAAATTGCACATCCAACTGCCACCCAACCTTCAGGAAAGGTGGCAGTCTGACTCGTTCTCCTGAATAAAACAATTTGTGCCTGATTGATGGATTCAGCCTCCATCCATTCAGGACCGTACTGATACCATCTGCTTTGTCACTTAGTAAAAAGGAATGCATACCCACAGCCTGGTCTGCCATGCAAGACAACCAGCTTGGGTTTCCCTGCAGTCTTCAGTTCAGCAACACACATTTTGCCACGCCTTAGTGCCAAGAATAAGTGAGACAGCCATATATAAAATGACACACTTTATTAAAAGTTACATTCAGCAGCAATGGACATATTTACTTAAGTAGATTTTAACTGTCAAGGAGCTTATAATTATAAATCTCTCTAAGGCATTAAAAGCTCTTAGGTATTTTAACATCCTTGCAATCATTTAATATAAATAGGTAAGGTAAATGATGCTTGCCTAAGAAGAGGATACCCCAGCTGCATTAAAACAAAGATATACATATAAATATATGTATAAAACAACAATATTTGTTATAAACTCATTAATAGGGATATTTCACAATCTTTAAGGCTTGGGCTCTGGCCCTGCAACTATTATTCACTTAAGAAGTCTCCTGTTTAAGTTATGATATGCAAGTGCACAAAATTGCTCACACGGATGAGAGCAGGGCAGGGCCTAAGTTTTGACAGAATCAGCAAAAATATCAAATCCCTCAGTGAAATATGTTTATAATCTGTGCAAGTAGCATCACCTACTGTTATTGATTATGGACATCTCTCTTGGAAGCTACCAACAGCAGAAAGGCATCGCGGCAAAGGCTAATCAGTATCTGTTAGCTCTTCGTTTCTGACATTGCAGCTCTCTCTTCTGAAGATCAGTTTTTGAGATCTTGAGCCTTGGGGACATCATTTGGGGTCTGAGACAGAGAAAGCACCAGCACCGTGCAGCTGGGCTCGGGGCACAAACACATTGAGTCTCAAGTTTTTCCAGCTCCAACAGCAGAAACCTCCCTTGATGTGCAGTGGTTCAGCTGCTTTTTCCAAGTGTAAACAAGAAAAGTGCCAACCACTTCCAGTATTAGCCAACAGCCCACCCCCCAATAAATAATGACCATTTAATTTATCTTAATGTTAAACTGTGCTTTATGCCTCTAATAATCAGGTGGGTGTGTGTGAGGAAGAAGAAACTGCTGTTGAAACAGAAGCTGTGACTAGATCTGATGAACTGCATAAACTGATTTGAATTAATATAGCTGCAGGGTCTGATTCTCTACCAACTTACTGTTGACTTCATGTTTGCGTGCAACTCCTTTGGCTTCTTGATGTACAACAGATCTAGCCAGAGAGGCAAATCTGGCTTTGTCTTACACCTGCAGCTTACACCTTACACATGCAGCTGGTTACTGCATGGCTGTGGCTCTCCGAATTGGTTCCCTGCATGTCTCTTGGTGTTGAACACTAATTGGTACATGAAGCCCCATCCTTACTGAGAGGCAAGGATTACAGAAGGGATTTTCACTATGACAGCGATGCTGCAGCAGTAGCATTGAGCCCTCATACAGTAAGTGTGAAGGAAAGGCACACTCTGAGCTTTATTCCTAAAATATCTGAGTCATTCATTGAAGACCACTGCTTTTCTGTATTCTGCTTTGACCTAGCACCTTTCCCACCATTGCTCCCCATGCCACAGCCACATCCACTCTGCTCAGGAAAAGGTTAACTCCAGCCTCAGAAGCAAACACACAGCATCAACCAGCTCAACACAGCTCCTGCTGCCTCCACACACTCCCTCTGCCTGAGAAGCAGCTGATGTCTGGCAGCAGCGATGCTGCAAGCCCACCAGCAGAGGAGTTGTAGGAAATATAGTCTCCAACCACGCTCACTTTCATTGGCTTTGTGACATTTCTGGTAACAACGACTTGCTCTTCATCTTAGTTCATGGAGGCAGAGTGCTGGCTGGATTTGGGAGAATTTCTTACAGGGAAAATAGACCCTAAAGCTGGAAATGGCCATCACCTCTCATAACTGGGGTGGTCTATGGACTAAAGTAAACAGAGATCTTCTTTCTGTGAAATACACAAATCCCTGCTTTTCACACTGCATTTTTGAAGGGGACAATTGAAGCGAATGGGAAATACTTTAATAGTAGAAAAATCAGACCCTAAAGTATATTATTTTTATCTCAGACACTTCACTGGCACAAAAAAGAGATGGCTTCCAAGAATAGGTTTGAATTTAGGATTAAGAGAGAGAAATGCCCCTACCTTCCCTCTACTCTAGGTCTGTTGGTTTGAATTACGCCTTAAATAAGACAACAGCATTTCTTCAGGGAAAAATCAGATCTAGTGGAGCCAATAATGTTTTCACCTTTGGTCAAAATGGCTTTTATAACAAAATGGAAATGTTATAGGGGGAAAATAATCACAAAAACCTTTTGGTTTAAAAAATGACTCCATGTAACAGAGGTGCATTTTCAAGTGCATCAAGGACAATTAGGTAAGCAAAACCCATTAAAAAAGAAAGTGAACTGGGACCATAATTCCCATTTGTGCCCCCAAAATCTTCTCCTAAAAGAGCAAAAAGCCCTCTTGGGCTCGGTGGAAACCCTGTGACTTTTCTTTTAAAGCCATCCCAAGAAATACAGGATACAGCAGGAACCTGCACAGCTGACTCACTGCCACCTTTCACAGAGCCTAGAGCTGGAAGGAGCTCCTCTGGCATCACCCCTTATGCCCCACCAGTGCCAGGTCTGCCAGCCCCTGAAAGCAAGAAGGGGAGGCAAAGGCACAAACCCACGATCTTTAGCTCAGAAGAAAGCTGGCAGAATAGGGTGCTTATTTACCCAAGTCAGCTCTTGCTGAAGACGAGTTTATGAAGGTAATCACACCATTACAGCTCCATACAGAAAGACATTTCCAAGCTTTTTAAAAAAATAAAATCCTATACATGCTTCAAACTACAGGTATAATTATTTTTTTTCCCTGAATCCTCTATTGGAACTTGAATTTAAAACACAGTTTAACGCCTCAGTATGTGAAATCTCACGGCCACGTTAATCGAGAACATCTGAAGCCAGGAGAAAGAAATCACTTCCAGTTATGTTGTCAGTGTTACGTGCATAACATTCCCACAGCTGTAGATCCATTGTGCTCCGTGTTATAAATAAGAAATTGCATGGTGACAGCTAAAATTCAAAAGCGTTAATGTTTCTCTTTGCAACTCTTTTTCTATTTTTTTTTTTTATTCTTTTTTTTTAGGGGGTTGTCTTTTTTTTTTTATTTTCAGTCTTTTGAGGTTTCTCCTCTTGGCTTCCTAGTAGAAGTTACTTGAAGCAACATTATTGCTCGCCCAACTGACATATTTACGGTAATTAAGAAATAGTAAATGCCAAGCAAATATGACTAATGCTGCTATTTGGCAAATAAGCTTGAAATGACTTCTATTGATCCTGAACCAGGCTGTCGTATTTGCGTTAATAGACATTTCTCCTTCTTCTGCTCATCTTGGCTACCCCAGCAGTCTGAAGGCGGCTCGAAGGACTCGGACAAACGCTGTCCCAAGCTCCGTCGTACATGACAGCTATTACTGAAGCCAGCGAGTTGAAGAGCACAAACGCAGCTGAGTCGGGCTCCGTGAGCGAATACAAACAGGCTTGCTTGTATCTCTCACATTCTAGGTTGCGGTCCCTTTCAACCATGAAAAACAACTACAAATTGTTCCCAGAGCTAAACCACTTAACATCTTGGCACTTGGTTGTTTTTAACTTTGTAACAATAGGCACTGTTCACTCCTCTCAATCTCAGTTTTTTATTCTATAATAAAGCAGGAATACTGATGAAAGGCTAGTCACGGCTTCTCCCCGTGGTATCAGGGTGGTGGCATGTGATGATTCACATGGGGTGTGTTTGATCCAAGAAAGCCCAGCCTCTGCTTATTCTTCCTTTGTTCTGTCATCTAAGGTGGAAAGGCAGAGAGAGACGAGTTGAGATTTTTTTTTCTTTTTACTATTATTTAGCAGTCACAGAGCCAGATACATATAAGCAAAACAACAGGGAGTGGAATTCTTTTTTTCAGCATTGAAAATTACAAGTAAGAGATGCCTTTGAAGTGAGAGATCTGTTTCCTGCGAAGTATGGACATTTTATTCTCGTTTGTACATTACTCTTATCCACTGGCAGGTATTACAGTGTATTATTTGCACGGCTATCGAGTTGTGTAGCCCTGCAGAGGGTCAGAATTTCCACTTGGTACTGTACAATCACAGAATTAAATGATGGTCCCAGACACAGAGAGTTTAAATTTAAGACGGGAAAATAAAAAAGCCACCGGGACAGTATGGGTAAGCACAATAAGCAAAAGTCTCAGCACATCCAGTCTAAACCTTTGTTGAGTTTTTCACAGGGAAAGAATTTGAAGGGAGATAATTAGGTGACTCTGTTGATGCCACCAAAGTGCTTCCCATAAAGAAACACAAAGATGCTTTTCTGAAACTGTAATGAGCAAACCAAAGGTGACCAGCATCTTTAGCAAAAAAGGAGCTGGCCTTTTGATCTTTAAGTGAGAGAAAACACATAAGGTGATTTAGGCAGGAGCAGGGCTTTAAATGGGGCTAGCAGCTTGTGCTCTAAACAGGATAGACGAGGGAGCTGTGGGAGGGGCATAAACACAAGGGTGACACAAGAAAAGCAACAGGCTTGGCAAATTGTTTTTGCAACAGCACTGTTGGTATTCTTAAGGGGGAAAAAAATCCAAGGGTAGGATTTAGAAAGCTTTTCTAATGATTCCATCAGTATGTAGCTGTTTCTGACGTTATGCCTTTTTTATTGCCAGGTTATGCAGTACCTGTGTATGTAAAGCTCATCATAGCTTCTGTGGTTTTCCCTCTGTCCTCACGCACTCACTGGGAGGATTTCATAACTAGTTTTCCTTACCTGTTCTCTGCTGTTGCTAACAGAGTACAATTTCATTCCAAACCCATATCAGTGTATCTACTCAGAAAGCTTACTGGAGGGTAAGATAAAACCTTTCTAAGACAAAAGTCTCTTTTGTAACACTGTCCTGACTGTGACCTGATGAAAGCTAGCGCACTCACCCACACGCGCTCATGTTGCTACCCACCGCAGGGCTCTTACCTGTTCCTTGAGCTCAGCAAGCTGACTGGAAAGCTGTTTTACAAGGCTCATGGTTGACTCCAGCCTCTCTTGCAGGTTCCTGATTTCATTTTGTTCACTGTCGCCTTCATTGCTAACCAGGGACATGGCTCTCATCCGAGGGAACCAGTCCAAATTCTTCTCCTACATGGGTATTAGGAAAAATAGCAATGTTAGTAGGGGTTTGTGCAGTGCTACTAAGCTGACACTAGAGAATGAAAACTCAGGACTTTTTCTCAGTGGATGACACACAGCAAGTGGGCTTAAGAAGCAGTAAATTCAGACAGTATTTTACACAAGTATTATTATCCTTAGTTCTTCTTAGTTACAAAGAAGGCATCAAGTGGAAAATCTTGGTTCCCCACAGCTGTATTGCAGCATGAGCAGTGTTGGCACATTCATCGGCATAGAAATGCCCACTGGGTGATCTGGGAAGACTCTTTTTTTACACTAGCACCAGGAAAACCCAAGTGCTCGCCATGCTTTGATCTTAAGTGTATGCAGGGACACATTTCCCCACTGTTTCTTCAGCTTGGTTGGCCTCCATCAGTTTTGGCTTTCCTTGCAGCAGAGTCAGCGAGCCAATGTCAGGAAAATAAGACAAGCCACAGTCCTCTCCAGACTGGCCTAGAGCATGCCTACTGCAAGAGCAGAGGGACCTTGCATTTAGCTACCTGCAACAGATCTCTGGTCCTGGCAATGGCTTAGGCTTCAGCGTGCTGTTCAGATTGTATACCTTCAGTAAATGCAAGCATAACCCCATGGCCAAGGGCTACCCTGTTATGGATCAAGCACGGAGTAGCACTGAATTGGGCGTTTCTCTATTCATGGACTCAGGCTATGAATTTAATCATAATAAAAAATACTGTAAATAGATGTTATGAGTCAGGAAGGTGCTGCTATCAGCATGAGCCTGAATTGTCTCCATGGCTTGGGGGCACAGATATTTGTGTACAAAGCATAACAGGCAGACAAGATGGGAGGGTGCGAGCCTAAGAGGAGTGGCAACCATGTGACAAGCAACCTGGTTTGCCTTAAGGCACAAGACAAAGGAAACAGGTCCTATAGCTGGCCAAGTGTTACCCTGGGGAGAGTGGGAGGATGTGGTTAGGTCATACACATGGCGTTTTGCAACGTGCACTTGGTAACTTTAGAGGAGAAACAGAATTAATTGTAGCGTGCCTCTTCCAGTCTCCTGTGCTGTGAGTGGCCCCACACAAATAGCACGGTATCAAAAAGAAAAGGAGGAAAGAAAAGGAGGAAAGAAAAGGAGGAAAGAAAAGGAGTTATTCCCAGAAGTCCCCCTACAAGACTCCTGGCAGGCGAGATCTGTGCTACCTCTACTGTCCTGGCTTGGTATTTGGTAAGGTTTTAAGTGCATTGAAACTTACTGTAGTCTCAGACTTTGCTTCACCATGAAAACAGAAAAGCCAGCAATGATTCTGCAGTATTCACAGCTGGGCAGCCATACGTGAGCAGGGTCCACATGAGCTGGCCTGGCAGAGCTGTGAGTTCAGGGATGTGCAATGTGATTACAGCTCTGTTGTGTTTCCAGAGATGGTTGCTTTCAATTATGTAGTGCTCTGCCCTAATCACCAAACCCTCCCCTCCTATAACAACGTGGTTTAGAAACAACTGAGCTAACCCTCAGTAAGCATGAAAGCATTTACAGTATTCATGTTTTTCCACTATTTGCATTAGCCCAGTCCCCTCTGTTACCCTGGAAAAGATTAGATGCAAAGCCATATGAATTTTGGCTTGTTTTCTTCTTTTTAACTCAAAACTTCTAATGAGTTTTTGCCTGTCTGTGCAACCTCTGGTCGGGTCACTAAACTGACAAGATGTTCAGGGCATAAGACCGTGCCCCTCGGTTGTATTTTGCAGCTCAGGGCTGTCATCCGTGTGCACTGGTGGAATGAGGCCTCTTTCCTCGCAGCTCGCTTTCTGAGCCTCGTGATCTCATTATGACAATTTACTGTGGTTACGCATGATGCCGTTTTCAATGGGTCATAACTCATTCAAATCAAAACCTGTTTTCACCAGCTCTGCTGGTGAGCTCGAAAGGAGCGCACGTGACCCTCCCTGCTGGATATCCCCAGCTGACACACGGAGCCGTAGACTCCTATTTCTGCTGCATGAGTTTCTGCTTACAAGACCAGCATTCATTTTCCACGAGTATGCCCCCATATTTATTTTAGATTTATTTTGGCTGGGCTCTAGCAGAGCATTCATCACGTGCCCAGCATTAAGCACAGGTGTACTCATTTATACTAAGCTCAGTTTGTGCACAGTGCCCTTCTGGATCAATGCCTTTTTTTTCTTTGCAAAATGTTTGCCAGCAAATTTGTCTGCCACTACAGGCACAGAAAGTTAATTCAAAGGAGCTACAGTGAACAGAGCTGCACTTGTATCTGAATGTTTCCTGGAAAGCTCCGGTATCTGTACCCATTACAGCTTCTCATGCTTGAAGCACCTGAAGATACCACATGCAAAGCTGCATGGCCATAGGAGCCAGCAGGGGGGCCAGGAGCCCTTTTTGGAAAGGCCCACCATAATGCCAAAGTTTCTAAAGCCAGGCTGCACAGGGAGAGCACCCTGAGACTCCATCATTGCAGTTCTTGTGTTTGCCAATTACTGCTTCCAGGATTGTGAAATGCACTTTCCTAGTCTTGTTCCCATCTGCCACTCCCTCGCTCCTCCAGGATGAAAACCAGAGACCACCAACTGCCTGGGAAAGATTTCTGTGGACTGACCCTCCACTGCACTGCAGCATCCCGAGTACACCACAAAAATCCACGTGGATGCAAGACACCCTGGCTCAGTGAGCTTGCCTCCCCTGAGGCTCTCAGTGTCACCTGCCTCCCTCCTCCTTGGCACAACCGTATACTTCCTGCGAAGAGAGATGACCAGGAGCAGGTGAAGACAGGGACAGAGCACACAGCACCTTGCCTGCTGCCACATGATGCTGTGGTGCTGATGGTGACTCTTCAGCTGGAACCACTCTGCACCACGTGCTGGCTCATCTTGGCCACCACGAGCCTCAGAGTCATGGGAGCTCAATGACAGACTCCACTCATTCACATGTGCCCAGCTTTGCCTTCCCAGCAATGCTGTGGTAATCTCCCCCAAGAAAGAAATGCAGTTGTAGCTTAGTTACAGACCAAAAAAAATCTAGGCATTTTTTGCCAAAATGTTATGGAGGATCAAGCAAGGACTTGATCCAAGCACTGAGAAGGTGGTGGGATTTTATGGACAGGAGACCTCATGAAAAGATGTACTGGCTTGTATAGGTTTTCCTGGCAACAGAGAGGCAACAGGTCAAAGAGCCCACCACAGGTCTCTCACTTCTTGTTGGGTGTGCTGGGTGCTGTGTTGGGTGCAGGCAGGATTTGTTTCTTGGTTCTCAACTGCATATACATCCAATGAATCCAGTCCAGCTGTGTATCTTTATCACGCAAAGTATCAGAAGGACTCAAAATTCAGTACATTCTAGCTTGCCAAGCTGTCTTTAAATTAAAAATACTTATCTAGCTTTCACCAATAGCTCCATTATAGTGCACGCAGTAGGTATATTCCTTGCTGAACTGCATGCTTTTGCCAGTCAATATTATCTTAAATTTTCATTCCATTATGAACTGCAGAACTTTATTAAAGGGCAGCATGAAAATTAGCTCTGGTGCAGAGCCCTGTTTGCCGAGTCTATACCACTAACAAACAGCAATTGCTGCTGGGGACAAAAAACTTTTGATCACAAACCTGCCAGGATCCAGAAGGCAAATTGGACAAGGCTCCTCTGCTGAAAATTTCAGTGATTTGTAAGTGTTCACAGAGGGACAGGCACTCTGTGACTGCTCAGCTATGGGAGAGCTATTTTTACTCCAAGGTAATTGCTTGCCAATTAGCTGGAGGTAGTTAACATGTTTGTCCAACACCAAACATTTGTTCTGGGACTTAAATGTTTATGGGCTCGGTCCAGGGTTCACCTTGACCACCTAACACACGTTGAAGCTGTAACATGCCTCCTTTATGCTGCAGGTGTGCTTCTGCTTTGCCTTATTTGACTGGTGCGGGGATGGAATTTTGCAGGGTGTTCTCTGTCACACCTTAGCTTAGAAATCCAACCATTTTACCGACTCATTCACTCAGACATTTTGAACCCTTCCTGGAACCAAGCAGGGGTTCATTTGGGTGAGGGAGGTAGGCTGTTGGCAGTGAGCAAGGCAAACCTCTGCAAACAGCTGCCACAGGACTCCATCAACAGCCACCAGGATAGTGCAAGGTGACATGGCTCCAGCATAAATGACCTCGCAGAGGGTGAGGTATGTGGATGAGATGCTTTAAAACGAACTAGCGGCCTGGACACAGAATTTTTAAAGTGTATTGAAATCTTATTTCTAAACAACCAGGGCTGAATGCAGTGTATTGTTACTGTTACTTTATTCTTGTGCAGGATAGCAGCTATTCGCAGCCCAACCGCAGCAGCCCACCTACTGATCACAGCATCCTCCTGCTCCACACTCCCTCCACAAGCATAACGTGTGCCTTGCAGAATTCATATTTAAGTATACATCTGTGGCCAGGGCAGAGAGTCAGCCAGACAGGAAGGCTGCAGGGACAGAAAGGAGCCGCAGCCTCCTCTCCATCAGTTCAGCCAGGGGAAGAAAAAAAACAGTCAAAAAGGCAGGAGGGGCCAGCCAAAAGGCTGCAGGCCAAAGAGACTGCACACGAGCAGAGCAGACATTTCATGTGGTGATCCAGCATGCTCGTTCCCTCCATTCTCCCCCCTCAGCTGGCGGGACTCCAACGGGAATCACAGCTCTCCTCTCGGCAAGGTACTCTGGGTACACATAGCTGTGAGGTGCCAACAGTGAGGGCACATGCCTGAGAAAGCACAGGGCTTAGATGGTTTGCTACTTGTGTTTTCTGAGAAACCTCAAACCCTTCTTCTCGGAGAGGCATGCTCAAAGCGAAAGTCTGCTTTTGCCTCCTGGAGTTTTCTATGCAACTTTTCTCCTTCCCTTCTGTGAGCTTTCCAGAGGAGGACAGAGCTAAGTTCCCCTTTGGTAAAACATTGCCTTTTTTTCTGACTTTGCTAGCTCCATTTGACCATGGATGGAGAAAAGACTGAAGAAATTTATTTAGAG